CTGTAACATTGAAAATCAATTGCAGAATCTACACACCCACAAAGGATCCCTGTAGTCATGGACACCGTGAGATTTGTGCTACTGGTATTTTACCTCGTGTGTCTGTCTGATTTGTGTGCAAGTGACATCAACTCCAGCTCCAGTGAGTCCGATGAATCCAAACCATCTTACCTTAAGTTATCGTTCATGAGATGCACATAATTACATGACGTAATTGTTCAACAATAATAATATTCAAATTAACATTTAATTATGGCTTCAATTAAAGCGATCTATTTATATTTTCTAGGTGCTTAAAGTATATATATATGGTGAGAGGAGGGTCTCTCGAACGAAAATTCCAAAACAAAAATATCTTATATTAAAAATAATAATAATAATACAAAATAGTAATAATAAAAATAATAATTTGCTGTCATTTAAAAAAATTAATTCACGATTTCTTTATTGCTGTCAAGGCATATAATTAACTTTCTTTCGATCTCGATCTCTCTCTCTCTCTCTCTCTCTCTCTCTCTCTCTCTCTCTCTCTCTCTCTCTCTCTCTCTCTCTCTCTCTCTCTCTCTCCCCCAGGCTTCCCTCCCCACACATCCTCTCTCTCCCTCTCATCAAGGCATATAATTAACTTTCTTTCGCTCTCGATCTCTCTCTCTCTCTCTCTCTCTCTCTCTCTCTCTCTCTCTCTCTCTCTCTCTATCTATCTCTCTCTCGCTTCACCAGGCGGGGCTGCATCCACATCAACTCTCTCCCTCGCTTCAACAGACGGAAGAAAAAGTCAACCTAGCAGTCAATTCGTCAACTTCATAGCAGTACTGAGTGGCTACTTTACTAACGCGGAAGAAACGTCTTCAGGAGTAACCTCTGACTCCAAATACGCCACGAAAATAGTTCCCACAGAGATTGAATCAGATGACGGGGTCAGTTGTTTTTTTATACAACTTGGTCAGATAAAAATTAAAGTGGTGTCACTTTTAATTAGAAAAGGAGTCAGTTACAAATTAAAAGATGTCACTTGGAAATTATTCTGATAAATTTGTACCTTTTAAAAAAGGTAAGACAACTAATGCCGGATAGTTTTAATAGGCCGGACTGTGGTAGGCCGGACTATCGTAGGCTGGACTGTGGTAGGCCGGACTGTGGTAGGCAGGACTGTGGTAGGCCGGACTGTGATAGGCCGGAATATGGTAGGCAGGACTGTGGTAGGTCAGGCTGTGATAGGCAGAACTGTGGTAGGCCGGAATGTGGTAGGCCGGACTGTGATAGGCCGGAATGTGTTAGGCAGGACTGTGGTAGGCCGGACTGTGGTAGGCAGGACTGTGGTAGGCCGGAATGTGGTACAACTGACTGTGGTAGGCCGNGGGCTGTGGTAGGCCGGACTGTGATGGGACGGACTATGGTAGGCAGGACTGTGGTAGGCCAGGCTGTGATAGGCAGGACTGTGGTAGGCCGGAATGTGGTAGGCCGGACTGTGATAGGCCGGAATGTGTTAGGCAGGACTGTGGTAGGCCGGACTGTGGTAGGCAGGACTGTGGTAGGCCGGAATGTGGTACAACTGACTGTGGTAGGCCGGACCGTGGTAGGCCGGACCGTGGTAGGGCCGGACCGTGGTAGGCCGGACTGTAGTAGGCCGTACTGTGATAGGCCGGACTGTGGTAGGCCGTACTGTGGTAGGCCGGACTGTGATAGGCCGGAATGTGGTACAACTGACTGTGGTAGGCGGAAATATGGAGGAGCCGACTGTGGTAGACCGAATTGAGGTTGATTGGACCGTAGCTAATAAAACATGAAGTTACTAATGAATTAAATATTTACAGAAAAGCCACGATTATTTTTAAGGATACGTTTGTAACACAGAGCGAATATTTATTTTTTGTTCCCTAATAAATTTAGACTTAAGAGCCAATGTTTCGTTTTGAATACAACAGTTAAATTGTCCCCAGATTGTGGTGTTGTATGGTGAGCATTATTTTGACAACAAGTTAATCCAAAGAATCCTGTACGTTTTAGACGAAAAGGTGAGAGGGGAAAAATTTGTCATTTATCCCTACGCACTGACATCGGCGGACTCAAGACTTCTCGTGTCTCGGTAAGTGGAGTGAGGGAAGTTATCTCTCGGTTGGTAGAGTGAATGAAATATATCTTGGTAAGAAGAGTTGTGAAATTATCACTCGATAAGAAGAGTGGAGAGGTTACCTCTCGGTAGGGAAGAGATTAACTCACAGTAAGAAGAGTGACGAGATTATCTCTCTGTAAGTAGAGTGGTGATAATATCTCTCGGTAAGTAGAGTGGGGAGATTATCTCTCGGTAAATAAATAGAGTGGTGAGATTATCTCTCAGTAAGCAGAGTGGGGAGATTATCTCTTGATAAGTAGAGTGTTGATACTATCTCTCGGTAAGTAGAGTGTTGAGATTATCTCTCGGTAAGTAGAATGTTGAGATTATCTCTCGGTAAGTAGAGTGAAGAAACTCTCTTCAGCAACGTTACTCATATAACTTCCTGTATTTAACAAATAAATATCGGTTTGTGAGCAGAAATGTTTCAGTAGGCCCGGATCCTTAGAAATGTTTCAGTAGGCCCGGATCCTTACAAATGTTTCAGTAGGCCCGGATCCTTAGAAATGTTTCAGTAGGCCCGGATCCTTAGAAATGTTTCAGTAGGCCCAGATCCTTACAAATGTTTCAGTAGGCCCAGATCCTTAGAAATGTTTCAGTAGGCCCGGATCCTTACAAATGTTTCAGTAGGCCCAGATCCTTACAAATGTTTCAGTAGGCCCAGATCCTTACAAATGTTTCAGTAGGCCCAGATCCTTAGAAATGTTTCAGTAGGCCCGGATCCTTACAAATGTTTCAGTAGGCCCGGATCCTTACAAATGTTTCAGTAGGCCCGGATCCTTACAAATGTTTCAGTAGGCCCGGATCCTTAGAAATGTTTCAGTAGGCCCGGATCCTTAGAAATGTTTAAGTAGGCCCTGATCGCTAAAAATGTTTTAGTAGGCCCGGACCCTTAGAAAATTTTCGCTCTTATCAGTATCATAACTTCCCATTACAGCCCAGGCTTTTTGAAAATTTAAAAACCATTTAGTTAAATTGAATACAAATTTTCAGGCTTATTTCTGGTACCTCATGGGGCCCAGGTTCTGGTACCTCACGTGGCCCTGATTTTGGTACACTTTACAGTTCTTGTTCTGGTACCTTAATCTGGCCCTAATTCTGGTACCTTAATGTGGCCCTGGTTCTGTTAATGTGGCCCTAGTTCTGGTACCTTAATGTGGCCCTAATTCTGGTACCTTAATACGGCCCTGATTCTGGTACCTTAATGTGGCCCTAGTTCTGGTACCTTAATGTGGCCCTGATTCTGGTACCTTAATGTGGCCCTAGGTCTGGTACCTTAATGTGCCCCTGATTCTGGTACCAATTTGTGGCCCTGATTCTGATACCTTTATATGGCCCTGATTCTGGTACCTTCATATGGCCATGATTCTGGTACCTCACGTGGCTCTGATTCTGGTACCATAAAGTAGCCCTCACTCTGGTATCTTTATGTGGCCCTGACTCTGGTACCTTTATGTGGCCCCGATTCTGGTACCTAAATCTGATGCTAAAACACTAAAAATGCATTCAAACAAAAACAAAATTTGAATTTGATGTTTGATTTATTTGATGTGCAGTCCACTGGACATCAGGATCCAAATCATATTTAGCCATACGTGAAACAAGAAACGCGCTGAATTTTAAAAGTCAGTCCTAAATCATGAAGTGTTGAACCTTTTGATTATTTCCATCAAAATTATGATGAACAATTCTACACAGACACAGATTTTTCACCACGCTGCATACCGGTATAAGTCGGACTTCCGTTACGGCTGAAGAAATAAAAAAAAAATTTGGAATTAGCATGGAGATGTCTTGCCTGAGGTATCCCTCAATACGAATGTACTTGGCAACTTCGAGTAGGGCATGGAGATATCTTGCCTGAGGTATCCCTCAATACGGATGTACTTGGCAACTTCGAGTAGGGCATGGAGATGTCTTGCCTGAGGTATCCCTCAATACGAATGTACTTGGCAACTTCGAGTAGGGTGTGATGTATTGCAGAATCGATGGCTCAAACTGACCAGTGTTTACGTTGGTTCATATATGAAAAAATTATATAGAGGAACATAGTCCATTTCTAATAAAAACACTATAATCACAACATGGAAGGTGTCGACTTCTGTGGCAGACTTCTGAGCCATTCTTGAGCCAGAACTTCCAAATGGTCTATCGTAGTAATATCTCATATGTTGCACCTAACTACTGTAAATGCATGGTTTCAATACCGGTACCAAGAAGACATGGAGTATGACTAAGCGTGAAAAGAGCACTCCTCCAGTTGATGAGATCAGGATTGATTGAAAAAGATAGAGGGAAAAAAAAATAGTTCCTGTGCCCAATCCAGGTCTTTGTTATCAACAAGCTGCCCTGAAATTCCAGATGTTGATTTAATTTTTGTTCAAGGTGTAGCTGAGAAGGATGTTCAGCTAAAGGCAGGGTACTCTGTTCAACTTGAAAAGTATTTTTGTGTTTGTTTGCCAACAGGAACTGCTTCAAAATCTTTCATACCAAATCCAACTGAATGAACTTTTTAAGCCTAATTCATTAACTTTGAGGTTAACATCTGACAATTCAGACACACATTGGCTGGTTTGGTGCCACAGGGGGCGACTCTCATCTTTTTGCTCGCACAAAGGTTCTTCGTCTTCAAATGATTCATTTTCAAAGTTTGATTCATTGTCATCAATGTCGTCATCTGTATCGATTTCATCAGAGGATGTGGGGTAATCTCTGATATCTGACGATTGTTCTAACATCACCCATAACTGTTGTGCTGTGGGATATTTTAACAACAGTTCAAACAACAGCATCAGTTTGCATGAAAATAAGACGTTTTAATTTTAAGCATTTTAAAGATAAATTATCAAAATCACGGATTTTCTTGAAATGCAACAAACTAAATAAAGTCTAAATATTGTAAGATGCCTAAATTAAATATTTAAATATGTTGAATTTTAATATTCGGACTTGAGATAAGTTTGGTGAAATGTAAACCTAGATCATTTTCGTTATTTTTTTTAATTAATAAATTTAAGAATATATAAAAGATCTAAATGAATACTTACCTAGATATAAGTATCTAAATGCATAATTACTCTGATAAAAAGGATACCATTTAAAGACAGCTAATTTTTTTTACAAATGAATAAATGTCGTAGTCATAGTTCTGTGCAATCAATGTCATTTGTAAATGTGTAAATGTCTTAAACAACATTGAAATCTTTAGATGGGGTTAAATGAATAAGTGAAAACACCAAAAAAACTTACCAGCACCCCCAGAGCACTAAGCTACTGCCGCTCTGTCAGCCATCTTAAAATAAAGTATTGTCTCTCTCGGCGTAAAACTAGGTCAAATTAGTGTTTACAAAAGGTGTCCAGCAGACTCCACAAGTGGGTCCAAACGAATATTAGCTACTAAGTTAGAAAAAGTCATACAAAACTATTGTCCAGTGGGCTGCACGCTTCGATTCAGGAGGCTATTGTTACCCTGATTCTGGCACCTCATGCGGCTCTATTTCTCGTACCTTAGGACATATTCCCATGAATAATCTAAAAATAAATATTCTACGAAAATATTTTACGAAAATAAACAAAGAAAATCTCTCAGAAAATACATAAACTTATAATCGATGCTTTCTACTTCATGCATTTCCAGCACAATGCAATTTCGTTCGAAAAAAGGGGTAAAAATATACGCAAGGCTTTATATATGACAGTTGGATAGATGTTAGAGCACGGACAGTGCGTTCAAAGTTGAAAGCTACTTAAGATTTGACAGTTGGATAGAGGTAATGACGATGATAAACAGATGAAGGACTTTGACTGTTCATTGACTTTTGTTTGGCAGAAGAGGCAAATTTGAGCTCAACAAACCCAGGCTACTTTTGAAAGACTTGGGATATGATAAAGCATGCACTCGGGAAATTGAACCAATGAAGAACAACCCATCTGGGTTTGTGTTAACGAGATGGCCATTCTGCATGGACAACCAGAAGGTAATTGGTCGTTTTGTATGTATATGGGAGCCCAATTCAATTTTCCTTATCAATCTTCTTAAACCCTTCAGCGAGCCAACAAGGTCGCTAGGCTACCACTTTGAGAAGCACTGCTTTAAATGGAGCAACAGATTCATAAAGCCTGTGACGTCACTGACACCTCTTTGTAACTTGTTTCAGCACCCCCCGATCTACACGGGCACCATTAACTGTACGCTGCTGGACGTTATCAAAGATGACGTCAGGTACAGGAAGCCTGGCACAATCGGTCATCAGATCACTCTACATAAAACACAAAGGTAAACTCAAGAAACATAATTATTCCTATAGCCATAGATTAAATAACATAATATTATGTTAACGTTAGATATGGAATTGGAATGAGAAGAAATCCAGGATGGGTGGATGGATCATAAATGAAAGATAGGATTGGCGAAAGCGGTAACTTAGTAGGAAATTAGTAAAACAAAGTAACTTTAAACCTGAAAAAAAGGAACGCAAGAAAACAACGAACGTGTCGGCAGGAAGCCTTCGTCCATGAAATAAGAACAGAAAAAAAACAGAGTAGACTCTCTGGCTCATCATTTGGTGATACCAAAATGAATGTAGTCAATAGCAGTAGAATATCAGGTTCATAACTTGGTGATACCAAAATGAGTGTAGTCAATAGCAGTAGAATATAAGGTTCATAACTTGGTGATACCAAATACAGTGTAGTCACGAGCAGTAGAATATCTCCCGACAAAGTAGTGTCATGAATAGCCAGACATATGTACAATAAAAAGAGCAACTCTATGCAATCGCCTTTTGGAATATTTTTTATTTCCCTTATATGAATGTATAATCTACGTATTTTATCCCTGCTATCAATGTATCGTTATTTTTTTATTTTTAAAAAAATAGTTGTTTTTTTTATCTATTCAGCTTTGAAGTCCCAAATGTCATCACTGAAGATATAAGTGGCTTCAAAAACCCTTGCCTCTCATAAGTTCAAACTCTACCTGGCAATAAACGACCTCTGGAGAATGTTCACATCTCAAAGGAATTTGCCGATGACTTAATAATTAATTATATAAATTTAATCATTGTGACATAGTCCAGTCATATTGTGTAACAGCCCTTAATTTAAATAAACTGTAATTGTGAATTAATTATCTTTTTCCTTATTACTTTAATTTATATTTTACAAGTCACGTGATCTGCAATGCAACAAATTACAATCAGATTTAGTTGAATATATTGCTTTTCTGAAGTTGTTCAGCAGGGATGGCCAACAGAAGGCCCGCGCGCCGCGTGCGGCCCCCCGGGAGTCATAAGCGGCCGACGGAGTTAGGTCAAATGAACATAATAAATGCTAATCATATATTTTTAAATTATAGCTAAGAAAAATATCTGAAATATCTTGCATTTTTGGAAAAAGTCATTGGTTGTTAGCTATTTTAAATAACCCTATTTTCGGGAACATTCATGGATTTTAGCTATTTCAAACATCCCACTATTTAATAAAATTTAATATGAGACTTTAACTTCTGATATAATGCTTTTTTGCGTACTTGCAACGCCATTCGTAGCAAACGTGAATTTTTTGCCTGGAAGATTACAAATGGAACATTGTGAAATGTGCTGTAATACACAATTAAAGGAGAAATTCCATCAAGTTGGTTTGGAAGAGTTCTATAAAACGTATTTGGACAAGAATAAATATCCGGCATTTTACAAACATGTTCTGTCGATGTTTTCGCTATTTGGAAACACATATGCTTGTGGGCAGCATATAAATCGTATGAAGCACATCAAATCACAAGCCTAAGTGAGAACACGAATTCCTGATTTTCATTTGGAAAGGTGTTTGCGTGTAACGTTAATATCAGTCGAGATCCATTTTGATCTATTTAGTTCTGCACAACTGCACAATAAAGTCAGAAGTCTCACTTTAAAATTGTTTAATAAATATGTTTGATTCTCAGTTATGTTTTATTTACTTCAAATAAATAAATAAATAAAATATGCCATTTTTGCTTCTTTTTTTTTACATTAAACCATGCAAGCGTTTGACCACGATCTCATCCACTGGGAAGCGATGATGTGGTCGAAGCTGTAGCACCTTGCTGGTTTACTTTAACTTAAATGGGTGCGTGGCCCGGCAGGAAATATTATTTCTGAAATTTAGCCAGCCTGCTGAAAAGGTTGTCCAGCCAGCCTGCTGAAAAGGTTGTCCAGCCAGCCTGCTGAAAAGGTTGTCCAGCCAGCCTGCTGAAAAGGTTGGCCAGCCAGCCTGCTGAAAAGGTTGTCCAGCCAGCCTGCTGAAAAGGTTGGCCAGCCAGCCTGCTGAAAAGGTTGGCCAGCCAGCCTGCTGAAAAGGTTGGCCAGCCAGCCTGCTGAAAAGGTTGGCCAGCCAGCCTGCTGAAAAGGTTGGCCAGCCAGCCTGC